TCTTGGCTCTGCTCATTCAACACAGGCTGTCTTGGGAGTGTTCTCCTCTCGGGGTTGCATGGAGGCCAGCAGCGGCTATATCCTCCCTTCTTAAGGAAGGGCCTTTGTTCTGGCATTACCATCCAGTCCCGACATTCGCTAGGCTAGGGTCGGCTTAGATCGCCAGTCTGCCTGACCATCCTCGTGATCAGCAGGTGGCATGTGCCAGATGAGCTCAGCTCAGGTCACGTACCCCCCCACTCCTGGGGTTTCAGGGCAACACGGTGACCTCAGAACACACAGATCTTGAACACTGGTTAGGGCAAAGGAGAGAATGGCTCGCCAGGAAGCACACTTGCACTGTCCACCCCATCCTGTGAGCGATCTGGATCTTCACATGTGTGAGAACAGGGGTATCGTTTTTGGTATTTTTTCATCTGGTGTAGCCCTTCAAAAGGGGGAAATAAAAGCTGACAAAGGCGTGTGTGCAGTGGATACTCCTCTCTCGACATGAAGTACACCTTTTAATCCTTTCGAAGGGATATCTTCGGATTTTGAGTTATCTTTTTATATGAAATGATATAATCATTCATGGCGTCAAGTGCCCACACGCGAAAAGAAAAGCAGATGAAATGTCAAACATTTCTAAGATTAAGATGAGGAAGACAGGAGAAAAAGCCATCACAGAGATGATACAGGAAAAAGCATAAATAATAAAAAAAGTCGTGACATTGCCAACAGAGTTTGTAATTTGACTTTAGTAACTACTTAGCACTGAACATGAAGGGGAGTTTCCAGTCTTAAAATTCCCTATTTAATTAACTGTCAGGCAGAGAACAAGCTGCGGAGAAGCCCACTTACTCTCAAAGGTGCAGACTTGACTTGTAGTTACTGAAGTCTCACCTTTTCTATTTCAATTTTCCATACCAAGCATCCTTGTCTTTCCTAATTTCTTCCCCTTTGCCATTCATCGCTGCTCTTTATGTGGTTTATGGGCACATTAACAACGTCTGGAAAATCAGCATCGTCACTCCCAGGGGCAGAGTTTTGCTATTGCTTCACTTCATACTCGCTTGGCACTCCCGCAGGACATCTTTTTTTTTTTTTTTTAATTTTTTTTTTTTTACGTTTATTTATTGTTGAGACAGAGAGAGACAGAGCATGAACGGGGGAGGGGCAGAGAGAGAGGGAGACACAGAATCGGAAGCAGGCTCCAGGCTCCGAGCCATCAGCCCAGAGCCCGATGCGGGGCTCAAACTCACGGACCACGAGATCGTGACCTGAGCCGAAGTCGGACGCTCAACCGACTGAGCCATCCAGGCACCCCCCGCAGGACATCTTTAAAAGGGACAGTCCCACATTAGTTGCTGTGAAGGGAAGCCTTTCTGAATATCGGGAGCTAATAGCGGGAGCTGCCCGGGTTTGCAGACAGAAAGGCATCACAGGCCCCCTTGCACTTTGCCCTGGCTTGTGAGCGTGCATGCGTGCAACTGCACAGACGCAGAGATCGCTTCCACCCTCGACAGCGTCAGCCACATCCCAGGCTCCAAAACTTCACTCTGGCTGGTGGTCCAATGCCTCAAATGCCACCCTAGGAGGCCCACTCATTTGATTTAGGTCCTGCCTGTTTAGTGACCTCAAACTGAAAAGTTTAATTACTCAGTGACCCCAATAACCAACCAAGCTCAGAAGCCTAAGATTTGAGAGAAGGTGCCCAGAGGTCAAAAGAGCTTGAAGTATAAAGAAGGCTTAGGAGGTAGAGGGAGCAGAAACAGGCCTAAGTTACTGCTCGGGGTATAGAAAGAGAAGGCCCTTAATGGTCAGCACCATGTAGGTGAATATTAAGGCTTTTAAAATATCATTAACAGTGAAAAACAACTGAAATTGGCATTCTGGGAACCAAACCTTCAAAATGTGACTTCTCATAAAGAAAATGAGACTACCTTCTAAGTTTCCTTGTTTCTATACAGGATTTTAAATATGCTTTAACCAGAGAAATATTCACTTAATAAGAACATTCTAATGGATACAGTAGAATGATCTTTCAATTGAAATACTGCTTCAACAGGTTTTTCCTAATGGAAGGACCTAGCATTTACATGCAGCTGGTTCATTGAATTCACTGATTTTTCCATTCTTTTATAACCATTAAAGTACATACAAGAAAACAAAAGGATTTGTAAAGATACATTCATGGTTTTGTTACTGTCATTTATTTCTGGATCATGCACAAAGACAATTCCATTAGTACATTTATTATATTATCCATTTCAGTGCTTATAATAATATGGTCATGTTAACTTGGACATTGGAAATGTAGAAAGATAGTATTCATTGCTGTTAGTGCGCTATCTGAAGTGAGACTCCAGGTTACTTATTTGTAATTAGGATTCAGACAAATGTCCATGTTTCTAAATACCACACAAAACTGGGAGACCTGGTAGGAACTGAGTAAGAAAGATACTAAGGCAGGACAAAATCCTGTCTTCAAACAATACTATGACTGCAGCAAAGGAGAAGCTGATCTGAACCATAGGTTTTTGCATGCTGCCCTGCCTGAATACATTTCACAAACTCAAGACAGACCCTCAAGCCTTTCACGGTTCTCCCTTTCTGGGGAAAGGCCAACAACAGCATCTCCTTTTGCGGCAAGGAGACAACACGAGACTAGTTGTCTGCAGGCCTGGGCTGGAGCCCCTGTGACCTCGCTTGATCTCTGTGTGTCTATTTTCTTGATTCTACAAATTAGTTTGATCTGGATTGCGTGCCCCTGGGACCTCGCTTGATCTCCCTGTGTCTATTTTCTTGATTCTACAAATTAGTTTGATCAGAACCATCCCTGGTGCTAACTTCCTCTTAGGAAACTGGAGGCTGGAAGAGCGCATCAGGGGAGACAGTGGTTCTGCCGGAGCGATGCCTACAGCATTACCACCTGAGAATTTTGAAGAAATGTACATTTGGGGCCCACGCAGGTCTACAGAATCTCTGTTTTAAGAAGCAAGTTCCCCAGGTGATTCTGATGCACACAACACAGGACGAGAACCACTGGATTAGACCATCTACATTTAAGAATATTCATAGTTCCAAAAACAAGGCAAATTAAATAAATCTAAACTCTGTCATTAGACTCAGGTTGTCAGCCACACATTACTTTTCAGAAGTATGGCACTGAAGGCATCTCACTTGTTCTTTGAAAATCCTGAAAAGAAATAGACAACAGGGATAACATTTAGGGCAGTTTTAGCTACTAAGAGCCAATTACATTTAGCTTTACCCCTATTTAGGAAAGTTAGGATTTTAAATTCTTATTTTTCCAAAGCTGTTTATTAAGGAAAGTATCATTTCCTAACTATAAAGGCTTTCTCTTCCACCTTGTGAATAATTATTTAATAAAAGGCATATTCAGTTTTATAGCATATACTAAAAGATGTACTTCATCGATATGAAATATTACAGTAAGGGATTTTTAAACTGCCAACATAATAAATTCAAGCTTTGAGTTATTCTTCACATTACAGTAACTGTAATTGCTTCTCATACATGGATACCTTGGGTTTCAATTTTTAGTTTTATAAGAAGCAAGAAAAATTTACATACAGACACAGTGGCTCCAATCCACTCTCTGAAAAAAATTATAATTAAATATCTAATTATTTTATATATGAAGTATATAAATAAAAAATAAATTACTTTACTAATTATTGGATTATTAAATAAATAAGGTTTGACCTTACAAAGTATCCTCATCTTTCCCACATTAGCTCACCACACAGTAAGAGGATTGGCAATCCTCACAATCCAGTCTGTATTTTCTGAGATTCATAAGAATTAGGTTCCTAAGAGAAAAAGAGCTCAATTGCCCTGTGCTAGGTGTTTAAACATGGCTCCTAGGACACCAGAAATAAGCTATACCATGGATAAAATGCCTCAAATAAAGACAGTGAAAATCACGGATTTGGAAAAGGCAAAAACATGAAATACACTTTTATCTTTTCTTTTCCATTATTACAGGTTTTTAAAAAAGACTTAAAAGAATTGTAACCAGGAATAAGCAAAGACAATGTACCAAAAGCGAAGCATGTGAGTCCTGGCAAGAATCCATGAATGAGGTATCTCCTTTGGGTTTGTGTTATTATAACAGAAACTTAGTTCTTAGGACACTTATCCAGAGTTGCTGAACTAGTTTTATTTTATTTGAAGACAAAATCATTCCTGCAGCAGGGCAGCTTAAACCCGCAAAGATGTCACTACAAGAAATGGTCTACCATCATCGCGGTCACCTAGACTCGGACACCAGGGTCGGCACGCCCTAGGTGAACTCCCTTCAGTAAATCTAACAGCATCACACAACTCAGGAAACGCTAAATATGCTTAATACAGAGACACACACTTAACACTGGATCACACTCTCACTGCATCTTTAAAGCTTAACTGACTATAGTGATAAATTTCAGGTACACCCACGAGACACAGTTTTAGAGAAGAGAGCTGTTCAAATGTATCTTCTACAATAGGTACAGTTTCACGTATACCGTAAAAACTTAACACCAGTAAATTCGGCCCTTTTTTCTTTTCACAAGTTTTTATCAGTGTGTTCAGATGTTGGATTTTTATAATAGCCTCACAAAGATTCCACAAACCAAATAATCTGGGCTGGTTAAAAAGGATGACGAAATGAATCCAATATTTAATACAGCTTTTATTTGTTTAATTTGGTAAATGGAGACTGTAATGGTTTCAAGGCAAACTCTGGGTGATTTCAGTCGCAACTCCACAGTTAACATGATTCTGAAGAACAGTCTTATCTTCGATGTCTAACCACACTACACAGTCACAGCTAGAGAAATCCATGTACATATATATTAGTTTTCAACAACTCGGGATTTTCAACCACTCTAGAATTCAGATTTTATATTCTCACACACTTTAAAATTTACCCCTTTGATGCAGGATATAACCATTAAAGATAAAAATTCATGCAGTGATACTCAGGTTTTTAAAAACAGGTAAATCCAGTATTTGATCATTCAGTGCGGTATCAAGTGCACCGAATATCTGAAATAAAACAAGTGCCAATGTTATCATGAATTAATAACATATTTATTGTCTTGAAACCAAACAGGCCCAAGTTACTTTTTGTCTTTCTCGAGTTAGCTATTTAACTCTTTTCTCTCAAACTTCCTGTGTAAGAAAACCCAAGATATTTCATTTCTTTTTTCAGTTAACAAGAGATGGTAGAAGGCTTAAGGTAGGTATGTTCTTGATAATTCGGAGTCAGAAAGTGCTTCTTCTTGAGCAGAAGGTTCGTAATCTCCTGCGTTTTCTGCCAATTCAGTATCTAAGTCGTCATTACTTTCTGCACTGTAATCCACTTCTTCAAGGAATCGAGGCTCATCTTCATCCAAGACGTAAGTGGTAGGGCTGTGGCCAGAGCACATAGAGCACATGAGACTTCATTAGATCCTAAGGTTCTAACATAAGGCTATTTGACCATATTGGGTTAATTTTGATTTCAATATAATGTAAGAGTTTGCATTAGCTTTAAAGATGTTATCCAAATGACCAAGTTAAAAGATTTGTAATAGCTGAAACCATAAAGGGTGAAATGCTAACTATTAATTATATTAAAAGACTGTCACTCTCCACCCTATAGTTAGATAGCTACAAAAAACAAGAAACTCTCCCATGAGGTTGCCTTTTTAAAAGACTTCATCAATTTGCAGGGTTAAAAGTTCTATTTTAATCACTGAAAAGAAACAGACCATTTCAATAAACTTTATTTTATTTATCGTATAATTCATCCATTATAAGAAACTGTGGTATTTAAACACTGAAACCACTTATTCTAAGTCTATACAATGATTATTTGCCATAAAAACGGCCCATGCACTCACCCATCCAGTTTCCATTGGTCAAGAATAAAAATGAAAAACAAGTGAATGCTCACACCCAGATTAATTACTTTCCCTTGAGACACAGAATAAGACATTTGCTTAAAAGCACTAAGTGCTTCTGAATATTTCATTAGGTAGGTTGTTTGGGATAAAGACAACCTTTCCACTAGGGTAAAATATTCTTTCCTCTTCAAAAAATCACAGTATTCAGATTTCTCCCCATCTGGGAGATTTTCTACACACATGTGTGCACATGCCCACACACACAGTGTTATCAAAGAAACACTATAGAAGCATTTCAATGTCCCCATTTTGTGACCCAAACTATCTTAATTTCACACAGATGTCTGTTTATATCCCACCTGCTTCCAAACAGGATTTCCCACCATGGGTGCAATTAAAAGCCATAAAATCAGACAATAAAAAGGGAACAATAATCTGTTAAAATGAACAGAGAAGCAAATGTCATTAGGCAGCTCGCATGAAAGAAGTCCTGCACTGAATATTAAATTCAGATATCTAGAAGTTCAGGCAGGAAAGACAAGTTAATGGATTATGTGGTTCTCATTTTCTGAAATGAGAAAGCAAAACTCATCTGGTAAGATTATCTTTTTTCCTAAAGTTGTTTTTCTCCCGCTCATTAAAAATAGATTGCAAAACCACCTTGATCTTATATAGCAAACTTCTTAAAAAGTTCAGAGCGTGCACTATGATGCAGCAGTCCTGATAAGCCAGCTGAGTGGCCCGAAGGACAATGTGAGACTTTACAACCTATCACGCACAAGAACTATTTCACCGCATTCAATTATGCAACTAAAATATTTATCATGAAACTGTTAGGTCTTTAGAAAAAGTGTTAGCTTAAAAGGCAAAAAAATATTTGCCCCTTCAAACGACCATTATTCTCTTTCTTTCTTTTGAAAAACAATAATTCATTCCTCCCTGAGTTTGGTGATTCACATTCTCAGGGTGTCCCAGGTGAATCACAGCATCCATGGAAGACACTTAGAAAAGATGGAGGCTTCAGCTAAAGCAAAGGATGCAGGAAAGAAGTGAGGAGAGAAACCTGCTTACTTTCCTCCTGGAGACTGTCCTAACAAGAAGAAACGACCATGGAAATGCAAGGGAGGAGGCAGGTTTGCTCAAAAGCCATGTACTCTGCTGGTACAGGGGCTGAGAACACCAACCAGGACTGTAGAGGCTGGCTCCATGGTGATGAGGCACTGTGACCAGAGCAGTGTAGTTACCTGCAGCATTGCGGGGTCTCCCAATGTCTAGGAAGAGCACAAAATCCATGCAGTGGGTGGGTGGGCAAGCATCGTTCAGGAAGTCTATGGAACACAGAATTCCGATGCACCCCTGAACCCCCATACCGTCACCAAGGAAAACAGACTGGCATAAAGGAAGCTGGTTACAGGAAGCCCAGCCACTACACTAAGGTCACAGCAAGGACCTAATTCTACATGGGTAGCTGAACACTAGAATATTAATCAATCTGAACTAAGAGAAAGGGTTTAAAGGAAAAGTCTACTCTTACAAGCTGAGGAAACAGAGGAAGTATGATTTTGAAGTAACAAAAATGCCTAAGATCAAGCCAAAAAAAGCTCCTAGACATCAAGGAGACTTGGAGCAATCAGATGCTGATTAGCACTTTTTTAAGGCTGAAAAGCATAACCTGGAAAACAAAGCTCCTGGAAATTTCAAATAAATCCCGTAATAAGGAATGTTCAGAAAATAATGTGAGCCTGTTAATTGCCGGTCTTGGCTCCTTCATATGCTGACTGTGACATAAATTTCATCCGTGTTCTGGCATCCCCCATCCCGATACCCCGGAGCGGGTGGGTTTCACACTCTAATTCCATTCCTGTAACTCAAACTTTGACGCCTGTTTCTGCAGGTCCTAACAAAGTCATGTTCCTGGCCTCTGCTTCGTTAAGGTCTACACTCTGGCTGAAATACAGAGTCCATCCAGCAGTGGTGAAGGGCTATCAGTGCTCTTGATGAGCAAGGAGTAGGCTTAGGGGCTAAAGAACTGGGGGAATCTCGAGACGAAGGGAACAGGAGGAGATGACAACCTCTGTCACTCCCGAGAGCAGCCTTCCGACTGGTATTCCAGTTGTCACTCTCCAGCCCATTGTTCTAGATCTCTCTGTTGCACTTAAATGGTAGGAATGCCAACACTCCTCTCCTCTGTCGTGCTTCATTCCCCTCTGTCCCTCCTCCCTGCTGATCAAGTGCTCTTCATCCTCCGTATAAAAATGCTCTCTTGGCCAACTGTTCTCATAAGCATGCCCTCTTTGAGTAAACTCACACATTTTAATTTGCATTCCGATCATTTCCACATCCAAATTTCTAGCCCTGACTTCACCCCTGAACTTGCACTGTGCATACCAGGCATGGCTATCTCACATGTACCTCAAGTGTATGTTCACAATGGAACTCACCAGTCTCCCTACCAAGCCTGTGCCACTTGTCCTAGTCCCCAAATCATCCACTCGGTGAGTCGTAAAACCACACTTCTCAGCAAGCAAGTCCTGCCAGTCAATCTCTGAACCACTTCTTGCCTCACGTTTACATGACAAACCTTCACGGACATTCCTTCCTCTGTTTAGGACACACTTCCCACCTTCTTTCTCCCAACGACTCACATTTCTTTCAAACTGCAGCTCAGGCTCATCTTTAGATGTTCTTCCTTTATGAAAGCCCACCTTGGGATAAGTGCCCTTTCTCTGTATTCCCTTTGTACCCTGCACATTCTGTCCGATCACTTCTGGTATGCAGGTGAAACCACTGACTTGTGGGTCTGTCTCCTAAGCACTTTAAGGTCAGGAACTGTGACTTACTCATCTTAGTGCCTCCTGTCAGCTCCCGAAAGTGCTTGATACATTGTAGGCCCTAAACAAATGTTTGCTGAACTCTTTATAAGAAGCCACGGAGCCAATGAGACCATCGATTTTTATATTACCCCATCTCACTGATTATATTTTAGTAAAAAAACTTAAGGCTCAAGACCAATCACAGCAATTCAGCTTTGCTTTTATTAATAATTCCAACATATGTTTTGAACAATTCATGATTTAGGAAGGGCTTTCCTATACATTATCTCACAATAGCCTTCAGATAAGAAGAGAAAGACTTGAAGGTAATTTGCCCTAGAGTTATAAAATAAATAATCCCTTGACATCAACAGAAAGGAATTCAAGTAATAATTCAATCACGAAAAGAACTCTAATCAGCACTTAATTATTTCCTGTCACTATTACTTTTTTCCCACCGCGACTTTCTTGTTCCCCTAATTTTCTTCATTTAAGTTGACTCCCGTTGCCTGTTTCTGCTTCATTCTCCAATAACTGGCCTCTGTTCACCTACCCTAACATCCTTCTACTCTGGATTTTAATCAATAAGAAACATTTGATTCTAAAAGAGAATAGCATTTTTAGTCCCAAACCAAATCTTCCTCATGCCGCTTCAGGAAAAATACCAAAATCTTCACCCATATGACTTTCTCACAGGATGAATCTGTTGAAATTCTCTGCTGTAGGGTGTCACTGAGATGCAGAAAAGGTTTAAAATTCCAACTGATTTCTAAAGATAACAAAAAATTCTGCTTTATTCAGATTTAGAAAGTGTTCTGGCTATCCTTGTGTTAAACTATTAAGCATACACAAAATTAAACCTAAGAAATTCACCATCCCCCTCAGTGTGTGCCCAACTACTTGCATGAGAGCTGACTTGACATCTGAGACACCAGAAGGCAGATCTTCAGCTCTGTTCCCTATACAAGCATGAAAGAAGCAAAACACTGTTTATGGAGTCAGAAATTCTGGGTCTGTGCCTCTCCTCTTCTACTAACCAGCTGCATGACCTTGAGCAAGTCATGTCCTTGGTTTCCAACACCGGTTTTTCTCTACTGGACAAGCAGAGATCACAATATCAGACCTACGACCTCGCATATTGTTGTAGTAAAGTGCGAAAGCATTTATAAATTCTTAGGTTAGACAAATACAAAATGTTATTATGAAATTAATAAAATCTGTTAAAAAAAAGTTAATCAATCTTTGTTAATTCCTACAGAGCCCAGGCGACGGGCTGCCGCCAAGCCACTGACTAAAACCACTGCCTTACTCTTGTGACTCAGAATCCCACCTTAACCTTGTCCTCTTCAACAGTTTTGAGACTAACCTACTGTTTTTAGACAACACAATGAACATATCCTAGGGGAGAAAGTCCGAAACTGATACACAAACAGAAAAATATTCCATTGTCCAAATTACCAATTTGTGACTTGCCGATTATGTCTTTCTTGTATTCAAATATCAGGTCTCAGGTGAAAGAAAAATCTCTATCTGCCTAAATATTAGAGAATGTTCCATTTATATAATTTGATTCTTAGCTCATAAGAGATTTGGCATCTACTAAATATCACAAAGCAAACAAAGTTATCCATAGAAAATACAAGTAACAATTTTTGTCGGTCTTAACTGACCACAGTGTATACATAAGTATTTGCACATTCCTGCACACGTG